ATTCGTACTAAAATAGCTCCTCTATTACTATGTCTACACTTACTAGGTTTTATTTTTCTTCATAGCAATCTTTGCTTTGTAATGTTTATTGTCCACTTCACTGTATGTCTCCTCTGCTAGACAGTAAGGTCCATAAAGTCTATTTCTTTCCCTGTTTTGTTCCCCAATTTATTCCCAGTGTGTAAAACAGTGACTGGTACAATGATGGTGCTTTAAAATATTTCTGAAGGGCTGAATTACCCTCTAACCTAAGATTCCAGACAGAGTTCTGAGACACAACAGCATGGCAAATTTCCATCTCCGTTGCAATGAACAACATTCACTGTGTATGGGATTAAGGAAAGGAACTCTGGATAGAGAAGTCTGTCCAAGAGCCCATTCACAGCAAAGTGAGAAGGAATGATGAAGATTGGAGAAATTACATGTCTCAATTCAGCAGGTCACAGAGAACCTGGGATCATTGAAATGGTGCTAATATAAAGGTTGACATAGGAGTTCACCTCCAAGAAAACCCAGAAGGATTTCCCCTCCTCCCATCTCCCATTAACTGTTCCATTCTTGGAGTCCTTGGGTGGGAGAAATGGTTAAATCACTGGAATACTAACTGAAAGTTTGGTGGTTCAAACATACCCACAGGCGCCTCAAAATAGAGGCCTGGTGATCTTCTACTGAAAGGTCACAGCCTTGAAAACTCTATGGAGCAGTTCTACTCTCTACACATGGAGTCATCATAAATTGCAATTGACTCGACAGCAACTAACAACAACAACTTCCATTCGTAGAGACTCAGGTTTTTGCTTGGAATTGTATTCTACTTATTCCTGGGATCCTTCTCTTTTTTTGTTCTTCCATCTCTGTATTCAGTTATTGAATCTCTCAAATGTCACATGAAAATGTTTCTGTGGACAATTCTGTTCTGTAAACCTCCTTCCAATGGCTCATTCACTACAATGACCAAACACTCTTAAATTAGTTCAACAGATCATTCATCCACTTTCCAAATCAAAATAGTTATTTTTGTGTGTGTTAGTTAATATAAAATCACGCAAAGCAGTGCTCTCCAACATAATTTTGTAGGATGATGGAAATGATGGAGCTTTCAGTATACATGTTCCAGCAATATAAAGAGCTAGAATGCCTTGTTCATTGTCTGTGCTGTCCAATCTGGTAGGCACTAGCCACACATAGCTACTGAACATGTGAACTAAGGAACTGAATTTTTAATTTTAAAATTTAAATAGTTACAAACTATTAATATCAAGTTATTTATAATCCACTTGGGTATAAATACACAGAAAAACTATCAAGGAATTTAAAATAATGTGGGGATAAATTGTTGTGGTGTAGCATAAGGATTTGTCTAAATACATGAGGGACAAGAATGAGGATTGGCACACAGCTGATTCCTATGAGGTGGAGGCCAGACAAATCTCTGCTCTCCATCTTCGCCATTTCTGACACCAGTTGTTCCACCAACGGCGCTCCCTACTTCTGTGCTGAGTTTGATAATCCACACAGAACTCACAGACCATATTCACAGTTATGTGGTTCATTAGGGAGGCAACAGTCTACAACTCAGGATCAGGATCAACTTGGAAGTAACAGGATATAACTAGTATGCAATTGGTCAGTCACGACAGTTTACTCGCAGGATAACCCTTGCAGCAAAAATGCTCCCTGCTGATGCAGTTCTCAGTGAGACCTTGGACAGTTCTCTGACTTCACAGCCTCTCTGCCCTAGGGTCTCTCTGCTGCCTGGCTGCTCCACCACCAGCTCTCTACCATTGGCCTCTCTGCTGCTAACTGGCCCAGCTCATAGCCAGTGTATCACCCCACTCGGCTCTCTCAGCTGCTGCTCTTCTAGAAGCAACTCTGCTGTTTGGCCTCTCCATCAGGATGTCTGCTGTGAGCCTGTCTGTTGTTGGCCACTCCATTGATAAGTGTCCCAGCACACAGCCAGTGTAGCAGCCCGCTGAACTCTTAGGTACTCTCTGCCATCAGGCCACTCCACCATCGGTCTATTCATTGATCTCTCTGTTGCTAACTGGTCCAGCTCACAGCCATTGTAGTAGCTTGATCAGATCTCACCTGCACTCTATATTGGGACTCTCAACCATCATGTCTCTCTGGCATCACTCCTTCTGCCATCAGCCTCTCCACTGCTAACTTGCTGTAAAAATGGTGTGAGGGACAGTATATGACCTCTAACCTCACAAGGGGGAAGGAGAATCAAGATCAACAGCCCAAGACTGATTCCTATAACGCAGAGGTCAGACATGCCTTCTCTCTCCACCATCTTTACCAACTCTGACACCAACCGTCCCTCCAACATACTCTCTACTGGGTTCAGTAATTCGTTGTAATGGCCACATAGAACTCACAGACCATACTCATGATTATGAGGTTTATTAGGGAAGTAACACTAAACAATTCAGGCTGAGGAGCACTCAAGGATACAGTTCTTCCATCAGGACAGCTTTTTCCCAGCTGTTCTCACAGGCATGCCTCTCCCTGGCACTAGGACACTGCCCAAAGGCACTCAGCTTTCTCTTCCCATGGGCCAGGAAGCCCACCGTACCATTTTCTGCTGCTGGTCTCTGCTGCAGGGTCTCTACTGCCAAGTCTCTCCTGTCACCATTTCTCAGCATCTTCGGGGTTACAGCTCACTGTCTCCCGGGTCTAGGAGCTTCTCAACTCAGGGATCCCAGGTCCAAATGATGTGCTGGATCCTGGCTGTTCTTCCTTGGTGGTGGTGGGAACTTCTCTTTCCCGACTCTGGGGTGGCTCATTTTAAGCCTAGTGGAATGGCAAAACTGACCAATCTCTTTGGTGGTCCACATTTACCATATCTGCACAATCACTTGGGTGGGAGTTACAAGACCATGGCTAGAAAGGCCACACAAAAGTGATCCATCACACCGCACTTGCCCAGCTTATAGCCAGTGTAGCAGCATGATCAGCTCTCCTAGATGCTCTCTGCTGTTGGGCTTCTCTGACATCAAGCCTCTCCCCATTGGCCTTTCTGCATTCAGCTGCTACTCTGCTAACTGGACAATCTCACAGTCAGTGTAGCAGCTTTGGAATCACTTGGCTCTCACATGGCTCTGCTTCTCTGCCACCCCAGCTCTTAGCCAGCATCTCTTCTGCCATCCAGAAGGACTCCCCGAAAACCTGTTTCAGCTACATATATATGCTGATTCTCATCAGTTGCAAGGCAGGGCCTCCCTCACAATACCAGAGTTCAATCTATCCCCAATTACCCATGAGATGTCAATCAACTCAGGTCTTGTAATTATCAGGCCAGAGTGGACAAAACTACCAAACCATCAAGTTGTTTACAGCTTACTCAGAAAATGTCGATTAACCAGGGGAATCCCCTGGCCATAAGTAACAATCATTTTGGGTAGAAAACAACATGGGAACACCCTTCCTCCTCCCACACTGCTTCTCCAATAAAGGAGAGCAAAGGCAACAATTTCTCAGGGTTTAGGGGAAAAAAAAATCCCAAGCTGTTTCTCCAAAAAAAGACCCAGGCCAAAGGGCACACAGAGGAACTGATTTCACCACAGTAACAACAACAACAATATAAATATATATATATACACACACACACATATATATAAATGAATAATCTCCTTGAGGAGGGAAGACATGGGCATGGAAAGAAAACCTTGTTTTCTAGGATGGTTAAGAACTCTTAAAAGTAGTCCTTACCCCAAGAATCTGTGGGTAGTACCAAGGGCTAACACACTCGGCTGCTAAACCAAAGGTTGCAGATGCAAGTCCACCCAGAGGTGGCTCGAAAGAAAGGCCTGGTGATCTACTTCCAAACAATCAGCCATGGAAAATCCTAGGGAGCAGAGTTCTATTCTCACACACATGGAGTCACCATGAGTGGGAATCAACTCAGTGGCAACTAGATTTTGACAGAAAATTGACATATGAAATTTTTAGGGTTTTCTAACTCCTAAAAATTCTAACTAAACCCCTTGTACCAATTGTTCCATGTCTACTTCACCTAATGTAGAAGTTGCATCATCCTTTCACTAGAATAGCTGCAGTGTCAAAATTCCTCTTAAATATAAACCAAGTAACTCAGTGCTCTCTCCAAGAGGGCATGAACTGTTTTATTCACCAGAGTATCCTCAGCTCCTGGAAACAGGGCCAGGCAAACAGGAGTGTGTGACAAATATTCATTACATTAATCAATAATCTCAATGTAACACTACTGTTTTTTAGGTCTGTCTGCATGACAGAAAGTTCTAAAATTGACGGTAGACATTCTGGTTTTTAATTGTTCCTTCACACTGATCTGGAGGAAATTCAACTGATATATATGTGCTCCAAATCCCACCAATCCAATACTGCATTTTTGCAACCAACCACCCCCCATGGCTTTTTACATTAATAGCAAAATTCAAGACACTGATTATCTTTTCTGTTTTAAAAATCCAGTTTTTATTTCCTCCACTGAGATAAACTCACACTCATTTAATTGACACAACAGAACAACCAAAGTGTATGTGTTTCTATTAACATCTGATTATGTCAAGATATCAAAGCACATATTTATGTAGAATGAGCGTATCAGGCTTTCCCAGTCTCTGCATTCATATGATTTCCCTCAGGATACACTCTGTAGCCATACAATGAGGTAGAAATTTTTGCTCAACCCTCTTCACTGTGACTGTTTCTGACTTTATCCTGTTTTGTTGTTGTTATTGTTAAATGCCATCGAGTCGTTTCCAACTCATAGCAACCCCATGTACAACAGAATGAAACACTGCCCAGTCCTGCGCCATCTTCACAATCGTTGTTATGCTTGAGCCTGTTGCTGCAGCCACTGTGTCAATCCATCTCACTGAGGGTCTTCCTCTTTTTTGATGACCCTCTACTTTACCAATCACGATGGCCTTCTCCAGGGACTGATCCCTCCTGATAACACGTCCAAAGTATGTGAGACATAGTCTCACAATGTTTGCTTCTAAGGAGCACTCTGGTTGTATTTCTTCCAAGACAGATTTGTTCGTTCTTTTGGCAATCCACGTTATATTCAATATTCTTTGCCAACACCACAAACCTGTTTTAGGTGACATAAAATAAGAGGTAATTGATTACTGAAGGCACTACCACATTTGCTGCATTCATAAGGTTTCTCTCCTGTACAAATTCTCTGTTAGCTCTTGAGGGTTCATATCTAGCAACAGGCTGTCCCACAAGGACTATGTTCCTATTTGTTAGGAACCCATCGATGTTAGTGATGTCTGAGCTGCCACAGGAGGCATCAGCATAGTCACTGTATTAACAGGGTTTTTCTGCTGCATGAGATCACTGGTATGTGCCTCACTGTGGAAGGGTTTTCCACCTTGATTGAATCTAAACATTTCTCTCTATTGTGTATTCTTTCATATGAAAAAAGGGAAGACATGTAGGCAAAAGTTTTTCCACACTCACTGCAACCATACAGTATCTCTCCTATGAGATCTTTGATGTACAATGAGGTTTGGCTTCTTGTCGAAGGCTTTCTCACATTCACCTCATTTAAAGTATTTCTCGCCGGTGTGAATTCTCTGATGTCTATTGAGACTTGACTTCTGAGAATAAAATTTTCCACATTCGCTGCACAAAAAGGGAGTTATTCCCGTGTGACATCTCTGATGTGCTACGAGGCATGTCTTCTGACTGAAGGCTTTACCACATTCATCACATAAATAGGGTTTCTCTCCAGTATGAATTCGGTGATGAGTAATGAGATTTCCCTTCTGGGTGAAGCCTATTCCACATTCTCTACATATATAGGGTTTCTCTCCAGTATGAGTTCGTTGATGAAGAATGAGATCACTTTTACGGATGAAGCGTTTTCTACATGTAGTGCATATATAGGGTTTCTCTCCAGTATGAGTTCGCTGATGAACAGTGAGATCACGTTTACCGATGAAGCGTTTTCCACAGGTAGTGCATATATAGGGTTTCTCTCCAGTATGAGTTCGCTGATGAACAGTGAGATCTACTTTATAGATGAATCCTTTTCCACATTCACTGCATATATGGGGTTTCTCTGCCATATGAGTTTTCTGATGTTTACTGAGGTGTGACTTACGGAGACAGGCTTTGCCACATTCTGTGCATTTATATGGTTTTTGTCCTTTATGAGTTGTGTGATGATGTTCAATGAGCTTGAACTTTTTAAAGAAGGTTTCCCCACATAGACTACATCTATAGGGTTTCTCTCCGGTATGAATGATCTGATGATTGGTTAGGAAAGACTTCCTGATGAAGGCTTTCCCACATTTACTACATACATATGGTTTCTCTGTTTTGTGAGTTTTCTGATGCTTAATGAGTTGGGACTTCATGCTGTTTGATTTCTGACTCTCAGGGAATTTCATTTCAGTACAAAATTGCTCATGGCCAGAATGGACAAAGGTTTTCTCATCTCCATTAAGCTCAGCAGAGTTTTTTATTTCATCGCTTTTGCTCTGGTTGATTGCTGGTAAAGTTAAATTTGATTTCACAGCTTTTTCACATAAGTCAAACATACCATGATTTTCCCTGAAAGAAAAATGATTTTGGGGCCGATGAACAATATTTTCCAATGCATTATGCTCATAGCACTGTTCCATGCTGTCCACCCTTCTTTCAGTTTGCGAGTGCGCAAGCAGATGATCATCAACATTCTGGATTTCTACGAAAGAAGAGAAAAAGGAATCTTTCCATCATCTTAATTTGTAATGAAGTCATTTTAAAAAACGCATTGATGTAAAGTAGATCTTTATGACAACCCTGTTATGAGTGTAAATAAAACAGTATGCTTAATGTTCCTTGCACACTGATAAAAATTCAGTAATATAAACAACCCAAAGAGCAAAAGTAGTTAGTGTAGAAATAAGGTTAGATAATACATAATGAATGAATACAGATTTGGCTGCTTCTTATATAAGGCCTTGCAAAATAAGCAGATAATGTAAAATACAAGCAAGTCACTGTGACCTGCAGACCACAGAGGTTGTGAGGTCTCCTGAACTCTACTGGAGAAGGACAGATTCATTCATTCCACAAATCCTCACTCAAAGACAACTATTCACCAGGCATAGTTGGATATGTGAAAAATGTAGAATGTTACATTTGGGATACAACAATTTTTACATGTACATAGTAAAGGTCTTTGGGATACACAAACATATTCCTAATGTTTATGAAGTCTACATTCTAGTTTGATAAACTACTGAAAAAAAGCAAGGAAAGTAGCTGCTGATTATGAAAAGTGGTTTTTATGAGAGGGCTAGCAAGGGGTGGAGGAAATGAGGATATATCATGAAGGAAGAGAAGGTTCATTCATGGTGGGATAAAGAGAGTGAGGAATAAAGGTAAATGAATAATTTCTTTTATCATGATCAGCACAAAGCTGGTTCCTATGAGGTGGAGGTTAGAAATGTCCCAAAAATCCAACTTTTCCAAATTTCTGTACCACTCCATCATCTCTAACTCCACTCAGTGCTCTCCCTCTCATCTTTGGGTTCCAAAATTCGCTGCAACATGTCACAGAACTCATGAACTGTTTGAAGGAAAGGCCTCATGCAGTTGTGGAGGCTGGCAAGTCCCAAATCTCTAGGTCAGGCATAGGCTTCTCCTGACTCGTGATCGCAGGGGCTGATGAACCCAAATCAGAAAGCCAGATGACAGACTACTGGCTCACAAGGCTGTGGAAGCTGGTGAATCAGGTCAGAAGATAGGCTGCTGGCTCACGGAGCTGCAGAAACTGGCAAATCCCAGAATTGGCAGGTAATACGGCGGTTGCTTGCTCAATCTCCATGAACTGGAGGTCAGATGAGAACAAACCAGATGTGAGATCCAGAGTAAGAGAATTTTTTCAAAGACATTCCCCTTACTTGAGCAAGGTAGTGCAAGGGTGTGACTTAAGAAACGTGGTGACTTGAGTCACGCCCTGTAGTAAGGGTGCGACTCAAGATACATCCCCCTAATCTTGAGTTTTATAATTTACAATACATACAATACCATAAAATGGGGGGACAATTACCTGATATAGGGAATTATGGCCTAGCCAAGTTGTAATGAACACAGATTCCATGTACCTTATTTACATAGTCCCACCAACTCACTGTGTGGGAGTCACAAAGAGTATGGCTAGAAGGATGCGGTGTGATAGATCCCTTTTGTATGACCTTTCTTGCCATTGTCTTCTAACTCCCATCCAAGTGATTGGGGGGGACTACACAAATAGGATAATTGTAGCCCACCAAGGGGCACTGATCAGCAGAGCTAAAAGAGCTTTGTAATACTTGCCTAAGCAGGGCAGCGGCCAAGGGGCCGGAGAGGTTTCCTTGTGACCAAGGCTGGGAAAAGGCTGTCCTGATGAAGAAGTGTATCCTGAGCATTCCTGAACCTGAATTGTAACCTGTTACTTCCCTAACAAACCTCATAATTGTGAGTATTGTCTGTGAGTTCTGTGTGACCACTCAATGAATTATCAAACCCAACAGAGAAATAGAGAGTGCCATGGGAGGGATGGTTGCTGTCAGAATTGTTAAAAATGGCGGAGAGAGGATGCATGTCTGACCTCTGTCTCATAGGAATCAGCCCTGAACTATTGATCTTGATTTTCCTTCCCTTTTGTGAAGTTAAAGGAGGTCAGACACTGCCCCCCCACCATTTTTACAAAGGGCCATATTAAGTAATTTGCTGCGCCAGAAAAGGGTTGCTGCTAATTATTTCCCTTGAGCCACGGGGTAGTGCAATGGTGTAAGAATGCCGTGGCAGTAGCGTCTGACCTCCTCTAACTTCGCAAGGGAGTAAATGAATAATTTCTTTCATAATGATCAGCACAAACCTGGTTCCTACGAGGCAGAGGTCAAAGATGTCCCAGATGTACAACTTTTCCAAATTGCTGTATCACTCCATCATCTGTAACATCAAATACTCCTTCTCCCGTCAGTATTCTCCTACCTGCCTTTGGGTTCCATAATTCACTGCAATGTCTCACAGAAATCAAGAACCATATCAAGGAAATGGCTCACACAGTTGTGGAGGCTGGCAAGTCCCAAATTAGTGGGTCAGGAGTAGGCTTCTCCTCATGTGGCCACAGGAGTCAACGAACCAGATTGGCAGGCCAGATGACAGGCTGCTGGCTTACAAGGCTGTAGAAGCTGGTGAATTAGATGAGACGATAGGTTGCTGGTCCACGGGGCTGCGGAAACTGGCAAATCCCAGAATCAGCAGTCAGAAGGCAGCTGCTGGCTCAAGTCCCAAGAACCAGAGGTCAGACTGTGATGAACTGGACTGAGGATCCATATGCAGAGAGAGAGAGGCATGCAACAGCACCCACATATATACTTTGGATGCAGGCCACACCCTAGGGAATGGTGTAGCTTGAGTAAGGGTGAGAGTTGAGTCATGTCCTCCTGAAAGGTTGTGACTCAAGATACACCCCACACAAAATCTGCCTCATTAAAATATAGAGGTTAGGATTTACAACACAGAAAATAGAGAATAATTACTTCAGATCACCAAATGGAGGACAACCATACAATACTGGGAATAATGGACCAGCCAAGTTGACACATAACCCCAACCATCACAGGTTACATATACTTTATTTGTACTCATTCATTGTGAGTGAGTCACAAAGACCATGGCTAGAAGGGCCATATTAAGTAATTCACTGAACTACACCTGTGGCGCCTATTCAGTAACTGACCTTTACCCAGGTTGGTGTGGGAGACTTACTCAATCTGACCTTTACCTGGATTGCCTCAGGAGCCCTGCCTAGTCTTGAGGACTGGCCTATATAAAGGCCAAAAACACTGAGAATTTTGGGGGGGCCTCCTGATCGATGAGAGCCAAGAGAAGGAAGTGTGCTCATCCTTTTTACATGGGGGCCAGGTGTTGAGACCCTCTCAGACCAGGGTAAGAGAGGTATAACACTTGGAGCTGCAACAGCAATAGAGGAAACACCTATGATGAGACAAGAATCTGTGGAAACAAAACTTGGATGGTGGCAGCAGAGTGTAAAGGTCGAACCCTGGCCAGCACATGTAACTTTCTTAGGCATGTAACACAGAGGGATTTTCAAACACAGAAAGTGAATCGTTCTCCCTTCATCCCCAGACTGAGAGCTACAAGCTTTTGCTTTCTCTTTCAGGCAGGGAAGAAGATACATGCTCGTGTTAAGCACACATGGTTTAGTGAGCAAAACTGAACCTCTTCTGCTGTCCTCTAGCTGAACGCAAACAATCTGCCTGTTTGGCTTTGAAAGCCAGTAATACCTTCATTCCAGTTATGCAAAGTTCCTTATGCTTATCCCTCTGAGGGATAAGCAGCACCACGAGCAGGCAGCTGCCTGCAGAGGACAGCATGCCATTAAGGGAGTTCTGCACCAAGAGCTGTCATGAAGCCAGCCTAGAGTAGCTAGAACTGCCCAAGAACCGAGACCATCCAAGAGTTATCCTGGAGTCGGCCAGGAGGAGCTGGGAGCCAGCTGAGAAGAGCAGGTCATAGTGGAGCCCACTGAGTAACATCGCAGAACAGTTGCTGGTTGAAAGGTTTCATGGCTGACAAGAGTGAACATCTGTTTCAGGGAGAGTAAGTGGATACCCTTGAGGTGTTGAGGTTCTGTGCGGGAAAACACTGGTGGACATCATCCTATGCACTTCTCCGTTTATATACATTTTTGTTATATTAAAAGTTGTTATCACACTGTCATGGATTGAATTGTGTCCCCCAAAAATATCTGTCAACTGGCTGGGTCATGATTCCCAGTGTTGTATGATTGTGTACCATTTTGTAATCTGATGTGATTTCCTTATGTGTTGTCAACTCTATCACTATGATGTAATAAGATGGATTAGTGGCAGTTATACCGAAGAGGTCTACAAGATTAGATAGTGTCTTAAGCCAATCTATTTTGAGACATAAAAGAGAGAAGCGAGCAGAGACACATAGGAATCTTATACCACTAAGAAAGCAGTGCCAGGAGCAGAGCGCGTCCTTGGGACCTGAGGTTCCTGCGCAGAGAAGCTCCCAGATCAAGGGAAGACTGATGACATGGACCTTCCTCCAGAGCCAACGGAGAAAGCGTTCTCCTGGAGCTGAAGCCCTGAATTTTGACTTGTAGCCTACTGGACTGTAAGAGAATAAACTTCTCTTTGTTAAAGCCATCCACTTGTGGTATTTCTGTTATAGTGGTACTAGATGACTAAGACACACACACACTAAAGGGGAAGTCAGCACAACTGGACTAAACCAAAGCTAAGAAGTTTCCTGAATACAACCAAACGCTTCAAAGGACAGTAGCAGGGGTGGGGGTCTGGGGACCATGCTTTCAGGGGACATGTAGGTCAATTGGCATAACAAAGTTTATTAAGAAAATGTTCTGCGTCCCACTTTGGTGAGTGGCGTCTGGGGTCTTAAAAGCTAGCGAGCAGCCATCTAAGATGCATCAATTGGTCCCAGCCCACCTGGAGCAAAGGAGAATGAAGAACACCAAAGACACAAGGAAAGTATTAGCTCGTGAGACAGAAAGGGCCACATAAACAAGACTTCATCAGCCTGAGACCAGAAGAACTAGATGGTGCCTGGCTACCACCAATGACTGCCCTGACAGGGAACACAACAGAGAGTCCCTGATGGAGCAGGAGAAAAGTAGGGTGCAGAACTCAAATTCCGGTAAAAAGACCAGACTTAATGGTTTGATTGAGACTGGAGGGACCCTGGAAGACATGGCCCCCGGACTCTCTGTTAGCCCAAAACTAAAACCATTCCTAAGGCCAACTCTTCAGACAAAGATTAGACTGGACTATGGGACATAAAATGATACTCATGAAGAGTGTGCTTCTTAGCTAAAGTAGATACATGAGACTAAATGGGCAGCTTCTGTCCGGAGGTGAGATGAGAAGGCAGAGAGTGTCAGGAACTGGTTGAATGGACACAGGAAACCTAGGGTGGAAAGTAGAAGTGTACTGTCACAGTATAGGGAGAGCAACTAGGGTCACATTAACAATGTATGTATAAACTTTTGTATGAGAGACTAACTTCAATTGTAAACTTTCACTTAAAGCACAACAATTAAAAAAAAAAGTTACCACAGATATGGTGTTTCTGTGATTTCTCTCTGACCGCTGCAATGTATAACCAAATCCATTATAAAAAGAGAGTGCTGAGGAAGAATGGCTGGTGTCAGAAATAATGTACAAGTTAGGAAATTGGGCTATATTTCACCTTGTCCTCATAGGAACCATCTTTGGGCTGATTCTTATAGTCAGAGTTGGAGACATGAGTTAGGATCTGATTTATAACACACCTGAAAATGTAGCATGTTAAAAATGTTTTTTCTAGTTAAAAAATCATCAGGAAGGGCAGAATTTTTAAAGAAGACATCCCTCTGGGTAGGAAACATTAACAGTAATTGTTAATGGCTAGAATTTCAGATGTACAGTACTAAAGGATAACCTAAGCTAAGAGTTTTCTTGTCGGGAAGATGATCCTAGTTCCTTGTAGATAATGTGAACTCATAGGGAAGTTTCGTCAAGAGGAATAAAATATATACAAAAAGGTCTATGTCAGACAATTTCAAGGGTGATGTCAATTTGACAGTCTCTAGGAAACAGAAGATTAACTCATTAGAATGAAGAAAACTTTAAAAGGTTAGGAGAATAAATGAGAAAATGGACATCAGAACCTTCAGAGAACCTCAGAGTGGGAGAAAATAGAAGCTAAGGAAGGAGACAGAAGCACAGTGAGAGACCAGTTTACTGTGGGGTCACAACATTCAAGGTGGGGTTGGGTGCTAGAAGGGGAAATCCATATTACTTAATGGGGGAGGAAGGTGCCGTACTCTGAGAACAGCCATAAATTCAAAGTATTCTCTTTGGTGAGAGGCACTGAAGGTGGAATTTCATAGTAAGAGAGGTGGAAGCATATGAAGAGGGGAAAGATTTGAGAATCCTAGGAAGAAGAAAATTATGGAACACAATTATCAAAACGTAGGCCAAATAAATGAGGATCTGTCTCAGAAAAGATAGACTATCTATTTCTCTAAACTCCTTGAAAGAAAAAGAGGTCTCACATGGGGAGAGGGATACAAGGAGGTACTTTTATGTATCCTCTGACATCCCTCACAGATGTGACATCTTCTCTAACTTGAACATGATTTCCACAGCCTTCCCCCCTTACCGCTTTTTGCTCGCCTACCTGAAAAGATTTCACTATGGCTTCTGTTTAATAAAGTCCATGGTTGTTCTCGTTCCAACCTGGGGTGTGCATCTGGTTTGCTACCTCGACACCCTGTTCATAGGAAATCACAGAATCTTAGACTCAGTAAATTGGCCTTGGGTTTATGAAGATTGCAGAATGTTATATTTGTGAAAAAATAATTTTCAAACTTACAAAGTAAATGTTTTTCTGTCAATAGTAGAAAGAATATACCCACTTACCTAGAGCCAGAGAGTGGACTGAGAGTCTATCACTTCCAAGCACCACTGACACTCCAAAGATTTCAGCAGCTGAGAAAGGAAAGGCCAATGACGGGGCCTATGACAGGAGAGTTGTCCTCACCAATGGACACCAAGTTGCTATAGTTCTCCAACATCACATTCCAGAACAGGTCCTTCTGAGCAGGGTCCAGGATCTGCCACTCCTCCCAGGTGAACTTCACAACCACATCGCTGAATATCAGTGATTCCTGTATTAAGAGGATCCTGTTTAATCAAGTATTTGTCATTTGATCATATGAATGAAATGTGAGGGAAGTTGTTCTGCTCATTTCCTCTATATAGGTTGCTGCATCTATTTACCTAGGTTTTCTTTTTAACATCTTATAGAAAAAGCAAAATCATAATAAACTATTCTGAATTTGTGCATTCCATAATCCATCCACTCATGAAAGGAGAATTTTCTATAATGTGTAGCAGTGGAAATTTCTTTGTAAGGTAGAAACATCTCACATTTATACACACACACACACACACACTCACAGAGACGCACATATATACTACACCAACTCGTATTTGTATACACCAACAGACAAGTTAAAGCATATTGTGAAATGGGACTAGGAGTAGTAGCAGTATCAGTAGCACTGTCAGAACCTGTCTAACTTCAGGGGGGATAATGATCAGGATCAGCACAAAGCTGATGCCTATGAGGTGAACTCAGACACACCTCCACCTTCCAGTCTTTTACCAGTTCTGACACCAACCATCCCTCTCACGGCACTCTCTACTCTTCTGGGTTCATTAATCCGTTTTGATGGCCACACAGAACTCACAGACCATATTTACAGTAAAGTGTTTTTTTAAGGAACAAGGTACAACTCAGGATCAGGATCTTAAAACATGTGGGCAGTTTCACTTCTTCAGTGCAGGACAGCTCTCTCAGCTCCTCTTGGCCCACAGAGGACAGTTTCCTGTCAGCCCTGCCATCTGCCAACTCTGGCTCTGCCGCTGGGCCCCTTCTGGGCCTTTCACTGTCTTCAGTTTTACAGCCCTTGACCAGTGTTACAGCTCTTTTCAGAAGTTCCTTGCCTCTGCTACTCTCTGCTTCCTCTTTCTGTTTTATTCCTTCTCCTTCTCTCCTTGCTTCTTTTTTCTGAGAAACCTCTGCAGGGCTGGCTATTTATAACTATAAACTCCTCATCAATTTCAGGGCAAGGCTATGACTGATCGATACCCTTTTGGTAGGCCTCAGACACTTCATTTGCATAGTAGGTGTGGCTGGGCTACAATTCACCTCATTTACATAGTCTATCGACCAATCTTTGCAAGACGCATACCATAGTGCAGGCTGCAGCCCAGGGACAGGCAGAAAGTATCAAACCAAGTTGTTTACAAATTACCCATACCAAGTTGTTTACAACTTACCCAAGGAAATGTCAATTAACCCAGACAAAAGTAACAAAACCTCTGGGGTTTCCAAAGAACACAGACAAAAGCCCACATAAAGGAACTCATTTTACCACAGGTATCAAATACACTAAAGAGATAATTAGTCACCTGTAATGTACAAGAAATTACCCAAAATGTAGTAAAGACAGAATATAAATAAGAGGTTAGTAAACATGGATAGAGTGAGAATGTCTACCTGTGGTGAAATGAGCTCCTTTATGTAGCCTTTTGCCTTGGTTCTTTGGAAAAAACAGCTTGAGAGATTTTTCCTCTATGCCCTGAGGAGTTATCTTTGCCCTAGTTTTCTACCCAAGAGGGTTTGTTACATTTCTTGGTTAAGTTGTAAACACTGTGGCTTGATACTCTCTGTCTGCTCCAGGGCTGCAGCCTGCCCTGTGATTGGTAGGTACCTTGCAAGGAATCGTCAATACAGTATGCAAATGAAATAACTACAGCCTACTAAGCAAATGAAGTGTTTATGGCCTACCAACAGGGGATTGGTTAATTCATGGACCCGCTTCCCGAGAAGGGCCATGCCTTAAAATTGACAAGGAGTTTGTGTGTGTATGTTGCCAATACCACAGAGGTTTCGGAGACAGAAAGAAGCAGGAAGAGAAGCAGCAGAAAGAAAGAAGAGAAAAGAAACAGAGAGGAGGTAAGGAACCTCCTAAAAGAGCTGTAACACAGGTCAAGGGCTGTAACACTTAAGATGGCAACAGGCCCAGAATGGGCCCTGCAGCAGAGCAGGTGGCAACAGGCCCTGAAGGAACACAGCATAAGAGCAGGCGGCAATGGTTCCAGAAGGAATACAGCAGAAGAGCAGGCGGCAACAGGCCCAGAAGGAACACAGCAGAAGAGCAGGCAGCAACAGGCTCAGAAGGAACACAGCACGAGAGCAGGCAGCAACAGGCCCAGAAGGAACACAGTGGCAGTGCCAGTGGGGACAGGCCCGGAAGGAGTCCTGTGGCACAGTCAGTGATGACAGCCAGCAGGGCCAAGAGGAGTCTGTCCTGAAGGGGCCAAGAGGAGCCTGTCCTGAGGGGGCTAAAAGGAGTCTGTCCTCAAGGGGCTGAGAGAAGGCCTTGTACTCAGGGGCTGAGAAGAGGCCTGCATGGTCCAAAGAGATGAGAGAGCTGTCCTGCACTGAAGAAGGAAGACTTTGCCTACATGCTTCCAGATCCTGATCCTGAGTTGTAGTTATTTCATTTGCATACTGTTGATACTGATCCCGAGTTGTACCCTGTTTCTTGAAAACCACTTACGTGTAAATATGGTCTGTGAGTTCTGTGTGGCCATTGCAAAAAATTATCAAAACCAGAAGGGAAGTAGAGAGTGCCACAGAGAGATGGCTACTGTCAGAATTGGTGAAAAGATTAGAAACTGGAAGTATGTCTGACCTCCACCTCACAAGAATAACCTTTGGCTGATTCTGGTCATCATCGCTCCTTAAGTTAGACAGGTTTTGATGCTGGTAATTGCAGTGCAGTGAATTACTTAATATGTTCCTTCTACTCATAGTCTAAAGAACCCTGGTGGTGCGGTGGTTAAGTGCTCGGCTGCTAACCAGAAGGTCGGCAGTTCAAATCCACAAGCTGTGCTGCAAAAGAAAGATGAGGCAGTCTGCTTCCGTAAAGATTTACAGCCTTGGAAATCCTATGGGGCAGTTCTACTCTGTCCTATAGGGTCACTATGATTTGGAAAACGACTCGACGGCTGTGAGTTTTGACAGTCTTTGTGACACCCACACAATGATTGGGTGGAACTATGCAAATAAGGTGCTTGTGGCCCACCAAGGGAACTGGACAGCCCGGTAATAATGCAAACAAGGTGCATGGAACACCTGTGGGTATGGGACCATGCAAATAATGTGTATGGAACCCTAATGAGGGGATTGGTCACTTTTGCCATCCCACTAGGCTTAAAATGAGCTCACCCCAAAAGCGAAAAAGAGGACCTTACCACTAAGAAGAAGAACCAAGAGGAGTGTACCCTCTTGACTGGAGGTCACTGTGTTGAGAACCTCCTAGAACCAGAAGAAAGATAGCTGTAATACCAGAGAAGGTGAGACGGCGAAAAGCAGTGGCAAGTACAGCAGAGCCCAGCGGCAAAGAAATGGTGGGAGAAGAACCAGCAGACTGGCGCAAGAAGGCGCAGTGGGTTATCAGGTCCAGGGAGCAAGGCAGCTACGATGGACACTTCAACCAACAGCTAAACTGGGATTGCCGACCCACAGAGTGTGAGAGCCGAGTGCCTTCAGGCATAAGACTTGCTGGTGGAGTGGGGTGTCTCCAGGCACTTATTGGCAGAGCTAAAGAGCTTTTTAATACTTAACCGAGCAGGGCAGAGGCCAGGCCGAGGGCCAAGGCCCAAGAGAGGGAGCCTGTAGTGAGAGGGCTGAGCAGAGCATGTCCTAACAGGGCTGAGAGGAACCTGTCTTCAGGAAGCCTAGAGGAGACAGAGAGTTGTCCTGCACTGAAGAAGGGAAACAATGCCTACATGTTTCCTGATCCTGATCCCAAATTGTAGCCCATTGATCCTAATTCCAAATTATAATCTGTTAATTCCCTAATAAACGCTGTAACTATGAGTATGGTCTGTGAGTTCTGTATGGCCATTGCAACAAATTATCAAACCCAGCCTAGAAGTAGAATGCCGTGGAAGGGATGGCTGGTGTCAGAATTGGTAAAAATGTTAGAGGGCGCAGGTATGTTTGACCTCCAACTCACAGAAGTCAGCCTTGGGCTGATGTTGATGGTGATTCTCTCTCCCACCACTGAACTTAGAGGTGGTTGACAGCTGCTACTATTACTACTAGTCTCATTTTACATACATTTATGAGAATGCTGCTGTCTACCTCATCACCTCCAGGAAGAAACATCAAAGAAACTTATTCAGGCAAAAGTCTCATGGAATATTGAAGGCCCCCAAGGAACTTATCTTCTTTCTGCTCAAAAACTGGGCATAGCATTTACATTATAATGATTCTCTTGGGTTGGCCAGAAAAATATTAAATGCAAGTTGACAGTGAACATAACAAAAAAACTCCAGTCACATATTGTGTGCAACATAAATAAGTTAGTGTTAATCCCATGAACAATATATTTTCTAATGCTGAAGTCCGAGTCTAAATTTATTTCTCTCCAGATTCTACTTTTCCAAATTAATACTTTTCAGATGAACTGAATTGACATTTTACAGGCCTCTACAAATCCTTTAGGAAACAAAGGAAAGCATAAAACAAATCAAAATCACCTGGGCCTTGGCCATTTTCTCTCGTTCTTGGGACACTGCCAGCAACTGGGATGCTTTGTTTTTGTATTTTCTGGATTAGCTCTAATTTTTGTTCAGAAATTTCAGTCTCCTGTGAAGGATGTCCCCAGAAATGACAATATCCAAATCCTGGAACCTCTTCCTCCTTCCTTCAAGTGATTCTTTTGTGGCTGGGAGGTCAGGGCCTGTAGGCTGAAGGAAAAATTCAATATGAGTGGAACATTTCCTCGAGGCCCAGATGCTGCCACTGCTGCTGGCACTCACCTTAACACAAAGCCTATAATACTGTTGACTGTCCCTTTATTTGGTGGCTCAGAACATTTTGTTGTTGTTGTTTATTGTAGTTTAAGTGAGTTTACATTTCAAGTTAGTCCCTTATACAAAAATTCACACATACATTGTTATGTGACCCTAATTGCTCTCCCTGTACTGTGACAGGACACTCCTCCTTTCCACCCGTGACTTCCCATGTCCACTCAACAAGCTCCTAACACTCTCTGCCTTCTCATCTCCCCTCCGGACAGAAGCTGTGCATTTAGTCTCATGTATCTACTTGAGCTAAGAAGCACACTCTTCACAAGTATCATTTTATGTCTCACAGTCCAGTCCAACCTTTGTCTGAAGAGTTGGCCTCAGAAATGGTTTTAGTTCTGGGCTGATAGAGAGTCTGGGGGCCATGCTTTCCAGGGTTCCTCCAGTCTCAGTCAGACCATAAAGTCCGGTCTTTTTTACTAAAACTTGAATTCTGCACCCCACCTTTCTCCTGCTCCATCCGGGACTCTCTGTTGTGTTCCCTGTCAGGGTGGTCACTGGTGGTAGCCGGGCACCATCTAGTTTTTCTGGTCTCAGGCTGATGAAGTCTCTGGTTTATGTGGCCCTTTCTGTCTCTGGTGGCTCAGAACATTTTACACCCATAGGCAATAAAACCTAATATTCAAAATTAGCAGAGATATGGGTAAAACCTGTCTTTTTAAAAAATGGCGCTTGGACAATCAGATATATATGTGCGGAAAAAATTAAGCTTGATCCTTATTTCACAAAATACAAAACTATAAATTAGCGGTCAAGTGTAACTATCAATGACGATGATAAATCAAAGAAGCTTTAATAAAAACATGAGTTTACATTAGGGTCTGAAAACATATTTTAAACATGCCACATAAAGCACTAACTATAAACTGAAGACTATTCTGCTCAAGGAACCGTAAAGCTGTACAACTTTAGAAAACACTTTTTGTAAAAATAGTGTGGGGGTGGTGTCTGACTTCCTCTAGCTTCAGGCGAGGGAAGCGGAATCAAGATCAGTAGCCCAAAGCTGATTCCCATGAGTCGGAGGTCAGGCATGCCTCCTCTCTCCGCCGTCTTTACCAATTGTGACACCAACCGTCCCTCCCACAACACTCTCTACTTCTCTGCTGGGTTTGACAATTCATTGCAATGGTCACACAAAATTCACAGACAATACTCATGATTATGGGATTTATTAGGGAAATAACAGGTTACAATTTAGGTTCAGGAACACTCAGGATACAGTTCTTCCATCACGACAGCCTCTTCCCAGCTGTGCACAGGCACACCTGTCTCTGGCCCCTCGGCCTCTGCCCTGTTCAGAGGCAATTGTTACAAAGCTCTTTTAGCCCCTACCAATAGGCAACTGGAGCCCTGGTGGCACAGTGGTTAAGAGCTCAGCTGCTAACCAAAAGACTGGCAGTTCGAATCCACCAGCTGCTCCCTGGAAACCCTATGGGGCAGTTCTACTCTGCCCTATAGGGTCACTATGAGTTGGAATCGACTCGATGGCAACAGGTTTGGATTTTGTTTGTTTTAACAAGTACCTGGGGCCCTGGTGGCACAGTGGTTAAGAGCTCAGCTGCTAACCAAAAGGTTGGCAGTTTGAATCCACCAGCCACTCCTTGGAAACCCTACGGGACAGTTCTGCTCTGTCCTATATAGTTGCCATGAGTTGGAATTGACTCGACGGCAATGGGTTAATAAATGCCCAGAAGCACCCAACTCTGCCAGTAAGCCTTGGTCCAAAGGCACTCAGCTTTCTCGCTCATTGGGCTGGGAAGTCCACTGCATGGTCTCCTGCGGGTCTCTCCTGCCAGTATTTCCTGCTGCACTTTCTCTGCCACCGCTTCTCGCCGTCTTCAGGGTTACAGCTCGCTCTCTGTCTCCTGGGTACAGAAGTTTCTCAGCATAGGGATCCTGGGTCTAACAGATGCGCTCTCCACTCCTGGCTGTTCATCCTTGGTGGTGGGAGTTTCCTCTCTTTCCTGCCTCTGAGGTTCCTCCCTTTCCTTGCCCAGCAGGATGGCAAAACTGACCAATGCCCTTGATGGGCTACAATTACCATATTTGCACAGTCCCACTCAATCACCTGGGTGGGAGTTACAAAACCATGGTGAGAAAGGCCACACAAAAGCGATCCATTGGACCACATTTGGGTATCATCTATTAGAATGAAGTTATACAGACACTTAGAAATAACGATTTAAGTCTGAGGTATATATTCCTCCAGAATGAGTTCACATTTGAACCACAAGACATGTACCACTATTTTCAAAACAGCATTATTTGTAGTAACCCAATGGGGTGTGACAGATTGTTTTTATATGGCCTTTCTAGCCACAGCCTTTTAACTCCCACCAAATTATTAGGTAACTGTAAAAATGGCATAGTGCAGGCATCTGACCTACTCTAACTTCACAAAGGCGAAGGCAAATTAAGATCAACAGCCCAAAGCTTACTGCTATGAGTCAGAGGTCAGACATACCTCCCCTCGCCAGCCCTTTTACCAATTCTGACACCATCTGTCCCTCCCACAGCACATTCTACTTCTCTGCTGCATTCAATAATTGCAAATAAGGTGCTTGTGGCCCACAATGAGGATTGAAAGCATGCTATATATGTAAATAAGGTACACAGCCCCCCTGTGGGTATGCGCAGTGTAGTGAATTACTTAATATGGCCCTTCTAGCCATAGTCTTTGTAACTCCCACCAAATGACTGGGTGAAGACTATGCAGATGAGGTGCTTGAGGCCCACCAAGAGGACTGGATAGCTTGTTAATGATGTAAACAAGGTGTATGACACTCTAGTGGGGGTAGAACTATGCAAATAAGGTGTATGGAGCCTTAATGATGGGATTAGCCAGTTTTGCCACACTGTTAGGCTTAAAGAGCAGTCAATCCCAGAGCAGAGGGGACGTACTACCACCAAGAAAGAAGAGCTAGGAGTGGAGCCCGTCCATTGGGCCCAGGATCCCTGCGCTGAGACCTGCCCAAAGGCACTTAGCTTTCTTGTTCTGTGGGCTGTGAAGCCCACTGCACCTTCTCCTGCCGGTCTCTCCTGCTGCCATTTCTCTGCGACCACTTCTTGGTATCTTCAGTGTTATACCTCTCTCTCTCTCCTGGTACCGAGAGCTTCTCAGCTCAGGGATGCCAGGTCCAAAGGATGCGCTCAATTCCTAGCTGTTTATTCTTAGTGGTGGTAGGATCCTCTCTTTCCCACCTCTGGGATGACTCATTTCAAGTCCAGCATGATGGCTAAACTGACAAATCCCCTTGGTGGGCCACAATTACCCAGTCTACACAGTCTTGCCCAATCACTTGGGTGGGAGTTACAAGAGCAGGGTAAGAAAGGCCACACAAAAGTGATCCATTGCACCACAGGCCACCCCCTGGCTTTTTTAAGCCATAGTCATTCATACTTGGAGGACAACTTTCCCCTCCAATCTTTTTTAACAATGCAAAACAGTCATTAACAATTAGTCTTTCAGTAAGGCAAAAGAGTCCTAAGGGTGAGATTACACAGGCACCAGAAATTGAGGTCTGCTGCAGGTGTCTATCTGATCTAGTCAGGTTTTTAACAGTTTGACTGGGCTTTACCTTTCCTGTTGTCTGATAAAATTTAACTGGGAAAAGATTATTCCCTTGCTCTGAGCCTCTCGAGGTATCAGCATAGCAAAATCTTTAAAAGATTTTAGGTTCAGCCATTGTACTCCAGTCCAGCCAGTACCTCCCCCTTAGTCCATTCTTTCACATTTGCAGCCTCTAGAATTATGGTTTTTACAATCACAGTTAACCCTCTTAACAATCAACACTCACAACTGAATCCTATAATCCTATCAGCACATTAACAACCTGTATTCCCCAGACTCAGCAGGAAAAGAAGAATCTATCCAGTGAGGTTCCTCTCTTGTTCCCCTCATTTTGAGTCTAAGCACACCCATGAAAGCATGTAAGCCAGCCACTTCATGCCTTTATCTCCCTCTGTTTTAGAGAGCCAATGTTTGCATTGCCTGTCCCTATCAAATCAGTACTGAGGAGACAAGCATGTTGCTTGGTCTGAAGAAGTTTGTGTTCTGGTTGGAACTTTGAGCATCTACGTTCATAAGCAAAGTCTAGTCCATAGCAAGCCATGAAACTGCAGCAATCTATACCAGCTCATGATGTCAAACGTCTTCTTTCTCTTCATTCAGTCAGGTTCTGGTCAGCTCATCCCTCGCCATCCAAGCTGGGTCACAATGGATAGCAGCCTTAGGCTCTAGAGTTAACACACACCTCCCGGCACTTCAGATGGGCCTCTTCACACTCTCTCATCCGTAGTCCCCTTGGGCTAGGTCAACAGGTTCCACAGTATATTCAGGAGTCCACAACTCCCTTTAATTCTGACCAGCCAGCCATTCCTCTCTCTCTCATCCATAGCTCCCGTGGGCTAGGTCAATGGGTGCCAGTTGAACATGTTCAAACTCAGCCTGTCTCTTCATTGCTGTACCTTCTCCACTTCCATTCATGAGTGGACTCAAGAGGTAGTCACCACAACTGAGCATACCAAGCTGTCTACTCACCACCTCCCTTAACTTTCAGTCTTGGAAGGGAGTTCCATCTGATGGGCATTGGCTTTTCCAGCCTCCATGCATCCAAAAGCAAACCACTTGCTCAAAATTCAAAAAGCAAAACAGTCACTTTCCTCTGCACGTCCTTCCTTCAAATGTAAATCTTCTGTTCTCTCAGTAGTTCTAGGTGGTTCTGCATGACTGTCCAAAAT